GCATTTAACAGATGGAACACAGTGATCATATTTCTTGTCGGTTTTTTAAATAAAAAAAAACAAAGTTCCTGGATTAAAAAAGTATCAATTAGTTGTTTCACTCATAGGTGTCAGCATTCAGTTTATCCTCTAGAGTATCTCACTGATGTGAGTTTTTTGAGGTGTTACTTGCATACCATGACAGTAACTAGCCTGCCAGGAGGTGGTGCAATACACAGGATGAGCTGTGTGATTACTGTCTGCCAGGAGTGCACATGATGGCAATCTAACTTTTATCATTCCACTAATGAGTAACCAACTTTCTTGTTGGCATAGACTCGAGTCCCTGGGATGAAAATACTGATTAGCACCTCCACTGGCCCAACTCAGACCCCTGTGTAGTTGAAGAACTACCAAAAAGCAGCAGTATGCCTCACATTTAATAGATGGAAGCAGGCTTGTTGTGGTTGAATTACACAGTACTTCATCACAGACTGAAGGGCAAGTTACATCTTCCCTTTGGTAAGCTGTTTTTCATTTTAATTAATAATTTATTTAAAAGCCTGCTCTTCTCCCTTAAACACAACACGGGATTCCTTGAACAGGTAGCACAGCCATTTAGCTGAAGTCTATCAGCATTTCACATACATCACTAAGTCATCAGAGCACAACCTCCACAGAGGGTTTGACAATCACAAGAAATTTACTGCTCAGAAATTTACTGAGCAGTTTGGTGAATACATTCTTCCAGGGAATCCCAGCACATCTGCTCGGGTACACATGTTCACTTTAGAATAAAACTGGCTTTACGGTATTTGCCTCCTTTCTGTAGTTTACAGTGATACCTCCTTGTCAGATTAGCTGTCCATTTCCATTTGAGATTTCACTGAAATTGTGGGCAGGACTGACAGGCACCTTCCCTCTTTTGTTTCACTGCAGTTCAGTGTCATTCATTTAAGTCAATATGAAAAGACAAGCACTCCTAAACAAATGAAAACAAATGTTTTATTTACAGGAAAAAATCTGTACACTGTGTATACATAAAAATATACAAAATCATAATAGAAAATATAAAAAGTGTTAAAATGTATACAAACACTGCTTAAAAATGTGACTCCTGTAAAATCTTAAGGTTTGTTATTAGAGTACACATTCATTTAAAAAAATCATCATACAAAATAATTCTCAAAGCTATTAAAAAAGTACACAGTCTATATTCGAATAGTTTAATGACTACATATTTTAAGAGTGATGAGATGATATGAAAAAAAGTAAGGCTTTTACACACAACTCTTATTTCAAGAACAAAATTCTGAATCTGATTGCTAAGCCAGAGAGAAGACATCGGCACTGTCAAAATTCATTAAGTGATTCACGTACCCCTGACATGGGCTACTTTAAATTTCAAACAGTTAAATCAGGTATCCTCCTTGTGTGTGAGAAGATAGATGCTGGGAAAGATTCAAATCATTTTAACAGCAGGCTTCTGAATTACCTACTTCAAAGCAGGATTTCATTTAAATATGCATCAACTTTAGAAAGCATGAAGGGAAAAATAGTAACCATTTATTGTTGCAGTCAATGCATTTAATACTCCTTTCACAGTACATCTGTGTCACTGTCCAAATGGCATTTTTCATCCTTAGAAACTTCTGAAGAAAAAATAAATTAAAAACCCTGCTAGGGATTTCTCCACATGTGTTTTGAACTCCTGTTTAATTCAATCAGTCTCTAAAATGACTGTGCTCAGTCTGTGCAATGAGTGAGTGTAGACACTTGTCTTCATTTTTTAAAAAAAACAACTCTTTTGGTTTTTCTGACTTTGGCAAGAGATCTACAACAAGTTCAGAATTCGGATGTCTTCACCAAAGAAGGTGTCCTGACCAAAGACAAGCAATGCTTAAATTAAATTTATACAGAGAGAGTGTACATTAGAGTGTTTTTATCACCCCTCTCTCTCTCTCCCAAAGTACATCATGGTAACTTCACTGAATTTACCAGAGTTTCTACAGCACAAAACTGCACAACAAGGTAAAAAAAGATGTAGTAGTTTAATCCAAGGACTGAGCTATGAGTTTATGCTGAGGTAACCTTTAGAACTATAGCGGAATGGAACAAAATAATGGGTTTTTTCTAGTAAAAATATTTTGGCTCAAATTAAGGCAAAATATTTCACAATTTCTTCTTGATTAAACAAAAGAATACCTTGATTTAACCATCCAAAACTGAATGCATAAAATGATAGAGCACCTCAAGTCAGAAAAGTTACAGAATTCACAGTGGGGAAAGAAGAGCATAATTAAATTCAGCATAAACTCAGCGCATTTCCTTAAGCTGCTGCTGTGTTTCTGGTTTGTTTCAGTTAACTTTAACTGTTGTCCACAGCACCAGGGCACAGAAATTTGGCTCAATAGTGTTTGAAGGCAACTTGTTCCTACTTGTCAGCAAAACTCCATAAATTTAAAGCCTACAAGTGCAACGGGAGCTTAGGGGCCCAACAGCAGAGGTAATTGCTTGGCTGATGATGCATCTCGAGATGCACCAGGTTTGTGCATACCTCTCTTGTCTAGGTGCTGTCCCTCTCTGTTAGTGTGTGACAGCCACATGGGAGAGCTACAATGCCATGCCTGGATCTTTTCCCCAAAAAGTCCCATGATCTTTGTGAAAAAATAGACTTCCTTTCACATTGCTGCATTTAACGTGCATCTAGAACTGGCACTCTCACCCCTTATTTTTAGAAGAGCCGTGTTCAGTGTTATTACACGTTGACTGTTTTAAATTTATTGAATGTGGTTCTTTGCAAACATTTCTCTGCTCTCACAAGGGATGGGGCAATGCCCATTAATCCAAAAGCACTTGGAGGGCTCTTATAAAAGCCAGCAATGCTAATGCCACAGAGAGGAAGAAGTGGTAAGAGGAGAACCTCTGCAGGTCCTTTATGTTTCCCCTTTATTTCTGTCCCTTCCCCCCTTGATGCAAGTGAAGGGAGCCCTCAATTAACAGATCAAACACACTTGCACTTGCCAAAAGCTGGAGGAGGACAAGACAAGGTAAGAGAGAAAATGTTCTTTAAGCAATGACAATGTGTTTGAGCAGGCAGACCAGTAAAACATCACAGTGGAAACCAGTGTTAGAAAGCCATTCCAGGCTCATTTTTTAAAGGTGGTCTTCCTCCTCTGTGAGCAAATGTTTGCAGCAGAGCTCTGCAGCATCGTCTGAGGCGATGGTGCTACAACAACTGCATTTGCACGAGTGGAAGGAGGACTGACTGCCATATAAAGAAGGATATGGCAAAGAAAAAATTTTGGCTGCAAGGGCTTGAGTATGAAGTCCAGTAAATTAAAAATATCCAGTTCATTATATAACATCTCCGACGTGGTTCTGCATTGGTACATAAATGATGTACTAAGTAGGTATGCTTAGCACTTATTACATGAAACTTTATAATTTGCCTTGTTCTGTACAATAAACAGCTATGTTGATTATTTTGACAAATTATTGAGAGATTAAATAATACTACATAATCATGTTGTGGGTGGTTGAGCAATGCAGTTAGTATTTTTCTTCTTTGTGAAAATTAAAGTTAAAAGTTAGTGGTTGCAGGCCAGGCCAGTCAAAGTTGGTTTGTTTTTTGTTTTTTTTTTCCCTTTTTGGAACTCTAGAAGTTCCTGCTTCTTGAAAAGTAGCACATTTGCTAGTCTTAGGAAGCTAAACTCTGTTCCTTTACAATTATGTCATAGCTAACCCAGGGTACAGCAGAGAGAGACATATTTGATTGCACTGTTTAGACTGCTTATGTTTGCAAACAGGGTACCAAACATATGGAAAAATAGATTAGTTCTGTGTAGGCTATCTATCCTCCATGCATTTAAATAGCAATGTTATTAATTTCAAGAATAAAGTTGCCACCACACATAACGTTAAAAAGAAATTGGTATGTACTATATCCAGAGTCCAAGGCTAGTATGAGTAAAACCTATTAATTTTGATATGTACCAAAATGCCTTATGGACATAACTATCCATACAACACAGAAATAGAGTTATTAGATCATCTACACATCATTTCTGTCAACAAGATCATCATACAGCCCAAAAAGAAGGCTATGTCCTATGTAAGACATATATTCTTCATTTTGAGGAAGGAAAATAATCCTTCCAAAAGATCCTTCCAGAACTGCTTCCCAAAGAGCTGAGTGAGAGAAAAAGGACTTTATGATTATACTTAACATTACAATTGAAGGTGAAGTAGTCATTAATATTGTTTTCTTTTTTTTTGCCTTTCTGGCAAAAGGCTTTTTGCTTAAGTCAAAACACAAAAAATACTTTCCACCACAACCATTTAGCTATTCTTTTCAATGCCCCTTTGAGCTGTCTGCTTTTTTACTGGATGGACATGAGTAGGATACAGCTGTGCTTCTTCTCACACATATTGCTGCTGAACTTACTCTAAAAGAAATTGTACAGTCAGGTGGCAAAAAACCAAACCAAACCACTGAGAAAACCACTCCAGACCATTAACTTTTAGAATTGCCTTAAAGAATATTGTTCTGGTGTGTTATGAATGAAAATATCAAACCATCTCCACATGCAATCCGTAGTAAATTTTTTTTGCAGGCATTACAGCTTTTCTGGGTTATAGTCTTTCAAACATTAAGTAAAAAATGCCGATAACATCTTCTTTTGTCAGAAAACATCTCCTTTCTGAACAGCAAGAACTTGTGAACAAGTGACTCTGATTCAGATACCTATGAAATACCTAACAAATATAATGTCTGTATTCCTGAATGCTATCTTTGTTGACAAGAGGTGAGACCCCTGTATGCTTGCTTTCAGTGTGATGGGTGAATGCTGCACAGCCTGCCTTGGCTTTCTCTGGGTCTTTTGTGTCTGCAGTCTGGAGGAAGGCAGCATTTCCATCTCACACCTTCCTGACAGTCAGGGAGATAAGACAGGGAGAGCTTTTCTTCCTAATTGGGAAGAATTACAAATATGTTCTTTTTTCTCTAAAAAAATGTGACATTTCTCTCTTCCCTCTTCAGTCAGTGTGAGCATGGGAGACTGGCATCCAAAAATACATCCAGTAGTTTAACTGGTTTAGCTGTGCACAGCCATCTCCAGCTGCACGCACCTCAGGGCCACCCTAAGTCCCTGTTCAGCTGGAAGCCTGGAACTGAGCCTGTGTAGGAACAGGCATTAAAGCCTGCTCTAGTGAATGACTGCACAGCTTGGAGTAGCAATTACTTCATTCTGGGAGAGTGTGAAAATCCCATGGAGCCACGGGAAATGCTGCATTGTTCAACTGGCCGCTCTGTATATACATGAACAATAGAGGCTGCTTGACAATGCCAGGATTGACAATTAAATAAATTCATTAAAAAAAAAAAAAAAAATTACAGTCTAGCAAATGTGGCATGAGACCACCGACAAATTCTGACAGCCACACCAACAACAATACATTATATTTCTGCCTAAGTATGTCCTTTGCACCTTCATGAGCTAAGCCTTTGCTTTTTTTCTGTAACTATTTGCAAAGCAGTAATAAATACTCAGGGCTCAGAAAAAGAAGTATTTCTCATGCCTGCTACTTAATTACAATTTATAGACTCAAGACTAGATTGGTCTAAGATATATTTTTTTCAAGTATTCTCTTCTTGTTTATAGTACGACAGTAGTACCTTATTGCACATTGTTTCTGAAAGACTTACTTCTACAAGTGTGGGAAATTATTTCGTTTGGGGCACTTGACAGCTTTGAAGCCTGGCAAAACGACTTTCCCCTTCCGATACAGATCATCCTGCAAACCTTTGTTCATCCTCTGCACCAGGAGCTTCTCATAGAGCAGTGGATGGTAGGCCCCTAAGGTGCAAGCTGCATCGTAGTAGAGTTCATGGTAGTGACACAGGTCGGTCTGTCGCACTGAAGGGATGTACTCGTACACGTGCACTTCGTTACACATGGACATCATGATGAGGATACCTGCAACAAGAAGTGAAAACAAAAGTGAGCACCAGCTTTCACTTTTCTCGCAGAAATTTCCCTGCAGTGATCCAATCTATTTTTTCTTTCCTTCTTTTCTTTGCTGTCACACACCTTAAGAAATCTGTAAAATCATTAAGTGAAGCAATCGTTCCTTTTATTTGAGCAGCTTTCACTTGTCCCTGATACATAAAGATTGTGATCCCTGTAGAATCAACAGGCTAGGATAACAGTCATAGAGAAAGAGTGAAAAGCCCGTAAAGAACTTGTGTATCACCACCAGACTCCTGAGTGAGATGACTGCTCTTTCCCACCTCCCCCCATTTACTCTTTGGACTGTCCACAAAACATTCCCCCCAAGAATCATTGAAACATCTCTGCCTTATTGCAATGTTGGTCTTTCTTAGTCTGAAATTGAACCAGTTCCACTTTTCCCATCCACTTGCTTCTCTCTAAGCAGCAAGACTTGGCCAAGCACATGCAGAAGGACATACAAAGAAGCATCACCCATGTAGGGGTGGCACAGAAGCCCACAGCTTCAGACAAATCTCTGGAGAGTCTCATGGACAGACACCAGAGACAAATTCCTACTTAAAGCAGTGCTGTCATAAGGAAAAGTCCCTTACCACTTCCTTGCTCAGCAAGGAGAAATCCAAACAATGCCAACCCATTTTATTCTGCTAAGTGCCAATGGCACATTATCATCAGCACCATCAACTGCAATCTTTATAGCCTTGAAACAAGAGAAATATTGCTGTTGCAGCTGCACATTTTCAGATGGACTAATACCAGATAATGATCAACAACATTGCTTAAACTATGATACTTTCACATCAACACAGCTCCTGGAAGCCTTTTCTGTTTCACAAAGCCATGCAAAAGGAAAGTGACATGAAGAAAGTTTTGGATGCCATTTATTTTTTTTAAGATTTCACTTAAAAAATAAATTTGTGTAGGAAATGTATCGAGGCATTTGTAGCACTAGTGGAATCCCTATCTGATCAATGACTCAGAGGAAGCAGCTGTATAACTGCCCACTTGACACTTACAATGAGAACTGATGTAATTGTTGTTTGGGATTTTTTCTGCACAACAGCTTTGGCATCATCAAAGGTGTTTTGGGTAGATCTCAGAAGTGAAATGAACTAACGTAAAAAATTATTTTGGTTTCCTAATTAAGCAAAGTCATTTTCTGAAGTTTAGTTTACAGTTTGGGAATGCAGGGATTTCAATGGCTTGCTAATGAAAACAACACTATGTTCTTCCTGCTGTGTATCATTAGATTATCCTGTGTATCATTAGACTATCAAAATGACTTTTCCCTGCCTGATGTGTGAAGTAACTGAAAACCAATTACTTCTGTGATTAAATCTTTTATCATAAATTAAAGGTTCTGAAAATGTTTTATAATTGTTCTACAGCTTTACACTCTACTGAATCTATAGTCTTAGAAAAGCTAAGCATATCAATTCTGAAGTTCTTAAATTTGAGTGAACTTTAGTCTTAAGCAGCAAGAAACACATATTCATGGTAAAAAAATATTTAATCCCTATTTGAAAAATACAGTACAATCTCAATAAACCAAGTTTCCTTGCCTTTAAGATGTTACAGAGATGCTTTGAATTGTAACCTGTCAAGCAGCTATATCTAGAATTGGGTTTTTATTGTTGTTGTTTGTTTTAGTTTTACAAATGCTTTCGTCAGCTTTTCCACTGCCAACCTCCTTCTTCCACTGATGGAGAGCCCACCTGCCATTCCAAGGTAACTGTTATCCAGCTGGATCAGAGGGTGGACGGTGGAAATGTGTGCAATAATGAACCACATCCAGAAACAGACACTAAAATTACTTCTCTCCTGCACCCAGAGCCAATTAAAAAAGCTACACCACCATCATCTTAGGAAAACCGTCTCTGATGGAAAGTACAAGCCTTAACCAAAGTGTGTTTTATTTCAATGCCATATTACCAAGCTAACTCTAAAAGTAATAAAGGAAGTTGCCCTTTGTGGGATTGGAAAACTGTCAAGAACAAAAATTGTGACTCCTTAGTAACAGAAAAATAGCTACTTAACTCCAGGTATGGTTCAACCATGACAAAATTTTAAGCAGTATCATTGACTTTCCTGTAAATTAGTTAATGGAGGACTTAGAAGTGGTAGGAAGCCATCTTTTTTTTTTTTTTACTAATACAGTCCTCTCTAAAATACAGAAGTGGCTTCATTTCTGTCTCATGCCTTGGAGTATGTGAAACCCCTCCACAGGGATCAGCCCTAGTGTTGTAGTGCCATTACTGCAAACTCAGTTTACAAAAAATGTTAATTGAGCATCCTTAAAAGAATAGCAGTAGTTTAAACCACTAGGGCATTTACATCAGTCCATGTACTAAGATATATTCAGGTTTTTTTCTATTTGTTTTCTAATGCCATGTGTCTACGTTGTTTTTCCCAAGTCCTTAAACAGGACTGCCAACAGAGCTTCCTGGACTACAGGTCTCACATTTCATCCCATGTTTTTTCATACCAGTCTTTAACTCAGTTCCTCTCTTTGCTTGGTTTTAACAACATTGCAGGGAGTTACTGACATCTGTATCCAGCAGATCTAAGTGTGCCAAGCTGTCTATATTTTCATCTACCTTACAACTTAATTTTCCCATCTTCCCTTTTCTCCTCCTCTTAGCTTCAGTGGTATCATAAATTTTAAAATCACCAGTTGGTTTTTGCCACTTACATGAACCCCAAAATATTTTTTAACTTACATTTATACCTTTATGTTTTGGATGCAGACTCAAAGCTAAAGAAGAGGTATGTGCCTGACTGCTTTCAGACTTGGTTCCATTAACTAATTTTGCTTGCCTGCCTATTATGAGAAGTCCCATGTTGCTTCCCATTTCTTATCTTTACATATTTGTTTCTGTGTTATTGCTTCCTAAGTTTCTCTTCTGTGGCTGAATTTTGTGGCATTTTCTCCCACACCTGTAGTGTCCAAATCTGCCTTGTTTATGTCCTATCCCTGTACTGCCCTCTGAGTACAGCTATACACCGATTTCTTTTGTCTCTCTACTTTTCACATCACCACCCAATTCAACATCATCTGCATCAACTTTGTTCCATATCTCAACACTTCTCCAGGATTATCAATATGAATGAAAACCTCATTGTTTGATAGGCTGTAGGGTGAAGAATTTCCATATGATACACTTCTATATTTGTCTTTGCTAACAGTCCCTACAACAATTTTCAGTCAATGCACAATTAATTATATATATAAAACAGCACAGACTGTCTTACATGTGACCTAAAGAGCTATTAATAAACCGGATGAGACAGTAATTGTCCCAACACAATACAGAGTCTGGACAGAATTAATCTTATTGAGATGCTCATGCCCATCTCTGACCTTGCTGGTTTAAAGCATTCTTTACAGACAATGCAGGAGACAGGTATTTCTAGGGCAAAATTCATCTGACATATTTTAGATGTTTTCTTTAGGATCAGTGTTGAATTGTTCACTTACAGAGAACTTTTCTTTTAGTATTTTTTCTCTCCACTGACTAGACAGAAACCAAAAATAAGAGTCTGGCACTTGCCTATCAAGAACCTCCTCTACTCTCCCACATAAGTAGCATTTGGAGTTTCATGAAAAATAATATAATTGGCTTTTCCAGAAGCACAGTGAGAAGCAATACGATCAAATGTGCCCCTGGTGCAGTTACCCACACCTGGGATAGGTATCACAGGCTCCTTTGCTGTCAGCAGAAGAAAGTGGGCACTTTTAGGAAGCAGTGCACTTCTAATGGATCACACAAGCCATTCCCCAGAAGTTCCTGTTTTTTTCTGTTGGCTGTAGGTGAAGCCTGAGTGGCAGCATGGATAGCTGCACTCCCAGGATGGGATGAAAATAGGCGAGGGCGATATGAGGCTCACAGTAATACTTAAGAGGTACCTATTTTTTGCTCTAATAATTCTGAGTGTGACTGATACAAACACAGACCTGCACTGAGAACAGCTGAAGTTAGGACACACAAATCCTGCTCTCTGACTGACCCAGACACGGGGCCATACAGATATGGCAAATTTATGTGCAAGGATTAAGCTGAAGGGAGATGTGGGTTTTTTCCTCAGTATTCATAAATACTAAGGTACAGGAATGTGAGTAAAAGCAGCAAATTACAAAGTATTTAGGGAAGGTCAGCAGACACACACAACTTGAGAAAACATAAAACCTGAAAGGGCAAGCCTATAGGCTGTTTATAGCATCTAAATATCAAAAAGCTTTTAAGATCTTAAATATCCAATCCATATTTCATATTAAGGAAAAGGTCAGGGTATCCAGCCTGATTTTAGCTTTCACAAACACAACTGGTGCAACCATACGTTCAAAATCTCAGCTGAAAATAATTCTGCATAGGCACTCTAATCTAATTCTAATACTCTTACTGGATTTTTGAAAGTCCCATTTGGATTACAATTGTGAAAATGGAAAAATGCAAAATAATTCTGCCTGTACTGTGGTAGAACATTCAAAAGTGTGCTTTATGAATGTTTTATAGTTAAATGGCAATATTCACGAACACCCAACTGGACATTAAAAAAAACAAAAGGAAAAAAAAAATAATTGCGAGCATAGAATACTCTTTTAAAAATACTATAAAATATATTATTCCAAAGAAATGATATGGTTGTCAGAGAAAAAGTGAAATGCAACTTTGTTATAACAGTACAATTGTAGACACTAAAACAGTATTATATATTTTGAAATATTATATATTAGTATTTCAAAATCCTTAGAAAAGTGTGTTATCTCTTTTTGGCCTTTTGGTTAAGATCAAGTGTAGTGTAGTATTTTTATTTTTTCCTATTTGGAAGATATCTATGGTGTTAAGAAGTGCTGGGTACAGTTTAAACTCAGTCCAATTGGCACAAATAAACCTAGCTTTTACAATCTGCACTGAGAACATTTAAGCCAGAATTACATAAAGATTAAATTCCTTGCATGGATGGTT